ATCCATCCATCCATCCATCCATCCATCCATCCATCCATCCATCCATCCATTTCTGAACTGCCCATCTCCCTCAAAGAGTAGCTCTGGGGTGGTATACAACAAAAATACCCAACTATAAAACAGTATATACAAATTAAAATGTTATAATTTTAGAATAAAAAATTAAAGATTTTTAAGGAGGCAAGAATAGTGAAACTCTGTTAAAAATTAGTTGACAAAGGCAAAGGGAGGGCTCTTGTCTGGCACAGGTGATCATGAAGCGAAGGAAGTTCAAAGGAATATAAGTCTATTGCCTGCTAACACTCTCTTACAAGAATCTGAACTACTAGCAGTCAAAGCAAATTGGCTGTAGATAAGAGTCAACGGAATTCAATGTCTTGCACTTACATCTCTTGTGGGCCTGAAGGGGCTTGAGACTGATGAGGTGTTGACTCCCCTCCCTCAGGCTCAGCCTGGTCATCTCCTACATCTCTCATGGCACCAACCAACCCCATCACTATGTGCTCCTTTAGGCTCCCTGTTCAAGGCCACAGAGCCATGTTTTAACCCCTTTTCAGAATACCAGGAGAGTGGGGTTCTGCCTCATCTCTGGGGGAGGGAATATTGCATAGGGCAGCAGCAACGGTAGAGAAGGCTCTCTTCCTTGTCCCCACTAATCGGCACTCTTTAACTGGCATGTTCTGCAACATACCTTCCTTGCCTGAGACAGGTGAGATGGACCAAAATTAATTAATCAATTAATCAATTAATTAATTACCCATCATCTACTGAACTTTGTTTGCCCTTTGCCAGGGTAAGCACCAGGACAAATGCCCAACCAGGATGCTTCCTTGGGTGTGTGGACTCCAGCTTCCTGTTGGGTCACTGCTGAGAACATCGGGAGTTGCAGTTGACGCATTGGGAAGTTGCTCCATGTCTTGCTACACTGGGAACGTCTTCTTGCTCAGGGCCCTGTGCATTTCCCCTGTTACAAGGCAGAAATCAAAAGGAAAAATACAAACCTTCTTCCCCATCTGCTACTGCAGAAGGAACTGCAAGAGAAGTCATAGCAACCTGTGATATAAAGGCTTTGAATACCTATAGAGAAATAGAACAAGTCAAAACATTCCTTTTGAGACATTTCACCCAAAAATTAATTTCACTAACTGGGGAATGGGAAATTGCAGATATTAGTAACTGTATAAGGTATTAATTTAAAATGTCAGGATGTCAGGGATGGGTCTCATAGCAGCTCACTCAGGTTTGAAGAAGAACCATTGATAAACACACCCCCGAGTTCATTTCTTAAGTCAGCTCTAATCATTTAATTGTCATATTGCCCTTGATCTTTGCCAAAAGTAAAACACAATTACTTGCTAATCATATTCTCCTACAGTATTTTACCAACATCCCCATAACCTACTAAGGAAGTTATCTAACTATATTTCACAAAGAGATTAATCTGGCAAGATTTGTTTTCTTTAAAAATGCCCGTTACTGTCCTCTCCAAGGAGACTGAGTCAATGCACAATCTCCTGCTTGGTTGTGGAGTTGGATTGGATGACCAGCAAGGTCGCTTCCAACTCTATAATGCTGTTCTGCTTAATGCAGGGAAACGTGATGTCCTATGATGGAATGGAATTCATTTTTGGATTCAACACAGCAAAAAAACATAAAGATTACATGGAATAACCAAAACAGCTCTCAAAAGTTTTTTTTTGCAGACCTGTGTTATCTGTCTGTCTGTCCGTCCATCCATCCATCCATCCATCCATCCATCCATCCATCCATCCATCAATTTCTTCATCTGTCTATCCACCTATCCATCTATCCATCTATCAGTCCAATGTAAGGGCATATCTAGACTAAAAAAAAACCTGAATAGTTTAATAAAAGTAGTTGTCCAAGACTTGTAGCTTCAATGGAGTGCTGAGACTTCACTAAAGCAGCTCCAGATCATGAATTTGGAACTCAGCTTGAAGGATTCCTTAGGCAGAAGAAAAAAACTATTAGCCCCAATTTAATGCTTTTGCTCCTGAGAACAAGAACAGATCTCATTGTCAGGGACTCAGAAAGCATGGAATCGCCTCTTAGCATTCAGAGAACATGAACCTGGTCAAATGATGGTGGGCGGGCAATAGAATGAATAGAAAGGAGGTTGAGGAAATTTAAAGAAGATCTACATTACCAACCAACCCTAACACACGATGAGGCAGTAACAAGGAAGGTGTGACATTTCTTATTCCTTCTGGCAAGACAGATTCTTGGTGTCACTCTGAATTTTTTTAAGCAAGAGGAATAGCAGAATTACTAGCTCACAGCAAGATTAAAGGCCATTTCTCCCACAGTGATTCTGAATGAAGCAGATGTACACATTATGAAGGACCACTGAACACAGGCTGGTCCATCACAGCCAGAGAGTCTGTCAAGATGAACTTCTAAAGCGATTTATCCCCACGTAATGCATTTGCTCGGCACCAAACCTGGACAGGAGGAGGTGGCATGAGAGAAAATTGGAGCTCAGAATGGATTGGAGTGGATTACAAAAAAAAAAAAAAAGGATTGAGAAGGTTGGATAAGCCACATTCCAAAATCTGTCCCCTTCTGATCCCAGAGATTTGTAAGGTGAACATCAACAAGGGCAGCCTCTGCCCTATTTTAATCCATCCTTGTCTTGTTTTAGTCCACCTTTATTATTAGAATGAATGAATGAATGAATGAATGAATGAATGAATGAATGAATGAATGAATGAATGAATGAATGAACGAACGAACTGGAAGGAGTCTTGGAGGTCTTCTAGTCCAGCACCCTGCTCAAGCAGGAGACCTTATACCATTTCAGACAAATGACTGTCCAGTCTCTTCTTAAAACCCTCCAGAGATGGAGCATTCATGATTTCTGAAGGCAAGCTATTCCACTGGTCAATTGTCCTCACTCTTAGTAAGTTTTTTCTTAATTCCAAGTTGCTTTGCTGTTTGGTTAGTTTCCATCCATTGTTTCTTGTCTTGCCTTCTGGTGCTTTGGAGAATAATTTGACTCCCTCTTCTTTGTGGCAGCCCCTCAAATGCTGGAATACTGCTAACATTCCCTCCCCCATTTAAAATATGCAGGTTCCAAAATGGGTTTTTATACCATATTTGATATTTTAAAGCTATCATTAAAAAAAAAACAAATTGTAGGAACACGTATACTTGTGCATGTGTAAGCATATTTTTCTCTTCCTTGCCTTTCAAAAATATCTGGATTATTTCCAACATGAAGCTGAGCATATGCAGCATTGAAATCTTAGAATAAAGAAGGAAGGAAGGAAGGAAGGAAGGAAGGAAGGAAGGAAGGAAGGAAGGAAGGAAGGAAGGAAGGGGGAGGGAGAGAGGGTGGAGGGAGGAAGGAATGAAGAAGGGAGTGAAGGAGGGAGGGGGAGGAAGAGCAATGCTAGTACTGTATGTATTTAAAGATACGGTTGAGTACCTTGACTTCAAACTGAAATTATAAAGATGAAATATTGGGATGTGTAAAGGCATGTTTTGTACACTCAGATTACTTACATCTCATATTCTTTTCCTCCATTGATGAGGATGCTTGCGAATATGACACCAACTGTTCTTTCTTTCCTGCCTTTGACAGCTTATTAATCTTCCAAAACAAACAGCCCTGGAACACATCATTGTTTTCCCTCCTTCTTTCTTGAATGTGGTCAGATGTCGGGATGAGACTTTAAACACTCAGTGATGTGAACAATTGGGTGGGAGTAGTTTATGTTATTGAAATTACTTCTCTTCCTGCAGCTTTGTCTTTTCCTGGCTCCAATGCACAGATGCTGGCTTGGATGTCAGGCTGTGAATTATGGGGGAACAGAATTATCCAGTGGGAAGAATAATAATAAGAACTGTGTGAATGAGGAGCCTACTTTTCTGTCCTCTCTCAGCCCTCTCCTTTG